CCAGTCTGGGCGACAGAGTGAGACTCCAACTCAAAAACAAAAAAATAAAATAAAATAAAACAGGAAACAGAAAAATATTTTCAAATATAAGATTATTAATATATTCTACAGTAAGCTTACTACAACTCAAGAGTTCCTCTTGTATCTAGAATACTGTGAGAGATGGATTGTTTCATTATATGACTCAGAGTAACAAAAACTTACTAAGAGCCTAATATATAATGATGTGCTCAAGTACTAAAGTGCTAAAAATTTAAAGGATATCATGACTTTCCTTAGAGAGCTCACATTCTAGTAGGAATAATAAAATTCTCAAATAACCATAGTAAAATGCAAATTTAACAAGTAGTATAAGATTTATAAAACTCAGCATACCAGGAAAAAAAGAATGTTCTGGACTTGTGGTAGATATCAGAAAGCTTCATAAGAGGTAGCATTTAGGACACTGAAGAATAACCAGAATTTCTATAAAGACAGCAAGGAAGGTGTTCCCTGCTTCTTCCAAGGAAGAAAAGAGACAGCAAGACCACAGCGGGAGGGCATACAGCGCATTCAGAAAAGCATTTCAAACTTATGACTCCAGCTTGGCTAAAAAATAGGATACATGGGATAAAGCAATCACTCTTTTAAAAGAATAAAAGGAACGGAGCTCAGTGGCTCATTCTGTAATCCCAGCACTTTGGGAGGCCAAGGCAAGTGGATTGCCTGAGCCTGAGGGTTCAAGTCCAGCCTGGGCAACTTGGTGAGATCTCGTCTCTACAATAAAAAATAAAAAATTAGCTGGGAGTGGTAGTGCATGCCTCTAGTTCCAGCTACTTGGAAGGCTGAGGCGGAAGGATTGCCAGAGCCCAGCAGGTCGACGCTGGGGTGGCCATGAGCAAGCCACTGCACTCTATCTTGGGCAACGGAGTGAGACTCCAACTCAAAAAAAAAAAGAATAAAAGAACTATACTGATTTTATTAGAGCCATGGACAGAAACATTTTGAAGGGACTTGCATGTCTCCCTAAATAATTTAAAATGTACTCTACACCCAGTAGAGTCACTGAGTATCTCAGAGGAAGAGACCACTGTCGCACTCGACCTTAGAAAGCAGCATGGAGGTGAGCGGGCAAGGCAAGTATGGAAGTCACGCCAAGGCAAGTGTGGAAGTTATGCCACAGTGCAAACAAGAAGAGCCTGTTTAGCACAGAGGCAGTCAGGATGAAAACGGGGAGGAGTCTGAAGACAGAGAGTCAGCACCAGAAGGAAAGTCAGGATCAGAGTGTAAACCTGGAAGTCACTCCCTGGACACACCTGAGTCCACCAGTGACTGAGGACAAGAGCACCAAGATGGAAATGACCGGAAGCCACCTCTGACCGCCAAGGCGGAGCGCGGACCCTGAGCACTGTGACTCAGTGTTTAGGTGCCACAGCAGAGAGTACAGGAGGCGTCGGTCCCCTGTCACACAGCAACGCCCATCTTGCCGGTCCATCTTTAATCCATCTGATCCGGAACCCAGAGGTATTTCAGCTGGTTTAGGTAAATATGTCAATCAAAACCCTCCCATCCTCAACACTCGGAAGCCACCCCCGACAGACAAACAGGTAGACACACACGCACGCATGCACACTAGTCTTGTTTGAGTTGGGGCCTCCTTCTGTCGCCCAGGCTGGAGGCTCACTGCAGCCTCGGACTCCCGGACTGAAGCGATCCTCCCGCCTCAGCCTCCCAATTAGTTGCCACTACAAACATGAGCCATGGCATCTGGCTAACTTGTTTTTCGTTTTTGTATAGATGAAGGTCTCGCATGTCTGAGCTCTAGCAATCCTCCCGCATCAGCCTCCCAACGCGCTGGAAGTACAGGCATGAGCCACCGTGCCCGGCTAATTTTTTTCAGTTTTTGTATAGATGAGGGTCTCGAACCCCTGGGTTCAAGTCGTCCTCCAGCCTTGGCTCCCAAAGCGCTGGAATTGCAAGCGTGAGCCGCGGCGTCCGGCTAATTTTTTTAGTTTTTCTACAGATGAGGGTCTCGAAACCCCTGGGCTCAAGCCATGCTCCCGCCCGGCCTCCCAACGCGCTGGGACGACAGGCCGAGCCCGTGCCCCGCTCCCGGGGAGCCCG